CAGACAATTGCATAATGTATAGAACAATAAAAACAACACAAGACACAGATATTTTACAAAGAGAATTAGATGAATTACAGAAATGGGAATCAAATTGGAGCATGTCTTTCCACCCAGAAAAATGTCAGTTGTTAAGAGTAACAAAAAAACTAAAACAAATTAATTCCACTTATCTTATTCATGGCAAACCATTAACACAGACTAAAAACGCAAAATACTTACGTGTTATATAATAAATGAAAAACTGTCATAGAATCCACATATTGATGAAACTATAAAAAAAATCAAACAAAGCATTAGGATTTATTAAAAGAAATTTCTATAAATCAAATAAGAACATAAAACTAAAATGTTATTTAACCTGGGTTAGGCCAATAATAAAATATGCATCCTCCGTTTGGGACACCTCAACTCAAGATAACATTAAGAAACTGGAACAGACACAAAATAGAGCTGTGAGATTCATAACAAACGAATATTCACATTTGACTAGAGTAACACATTTAGTAAAATCACTAAATTTAGAAAGCCTTCAGGATAGAAGACTTACAAGTAAAGTAGCAATTATACATAAAACACTGAACCATAATCTTCAAATACAAAAACAAAATTTAATAAAATACTCTGAAAGACACAAAGATAAAGACACATTCCTCGTCCCATATGCTAGACAAATTTGTACAAATACTCCTTCTTCCCTAGTGCTATTAGAGCATGAAATGAGTTGCCTGAGCCAGCCAAGAAATCCAGTGACTTGGCAGAATTTAAGTCATTGGTTAATATGCATGACTAAATGCATGACGCGTAGGACGTAATCATCTTCTTTTTTGAAGTAACGTCTGTATTTTATAAGATAAGATAAGAAGAAATAACACTTAACAAAACAATTAGTAAAAATATATAAGAAGATAAGATAAGAACTTTCTTATATATCTTCTATCGTAAACTGGTGGACCTGTTTAACCTGCTATTTTATCGAGCGCTAACACTGACCGCAACTCCGCAAGACGAAAATACATTTACCAAGATGACTGCACTCTTCAATCTTATTTAAAGAAACTTTCATATTTATCACATCGACAGACAGCTGGCAATGATTTTTCCTCCAAGAAAAAAACAAAAAACAAAAAAAAAGAACAACTTGTAACATATTCTAGGCCTTACCAAACCTTTCAGTAAATGCGGCTGAAATAATGGCTAATTTAGGTCCACTAAACCTTAGGAGCGATATAAAAGACTGGATAAATACCTCCCAGATAGAAAACTAGTGGATGGTTGGAGATGCAGAAGACGTATTCAGATGCAGTCTTTTATGCATCATGCCACTAGACTATCTGATGAAGCTGGCCTCTCCACCAACCGACAAAACATTCAACGTTTTCATCTCCTTCCCCATTGGTGTCGCCCAACTACCCCAGACATACGTTTGAAACTTGTAGACCCTAATGCCACTAAGCTAAGTTGTTCATCTAACGACCTTCAAATTCTAGCACTGGAGACCATTAATACAATCAAGCCCAGTGCTATTTTTGCATACACTGATAGGTCGGCATCGTTGATTCTGGAAGAGCAGGCTATATAGCCTACATCGACTTTCTTGGCTCTCACTCAGTCAAAATCTTTGGACCATGTGGTAGTGTTTGCAGTTTCGATGCGGAGACCATGGCAGTCTGTGAAACCTTAAAGGTCATTGACTCTCAACTCGGCGAGGGACATTTGAGGGCAACACAGATTGTTGTGGTCACTGACTCAAAATCTGTACTACAGGCTTTGCAAAGCCCCGGACCATGGCCTCCCAATATCGACACTTTCACCATGGCTTCACACAACATAAAACAACGCTATGGCACCCCTGTAATAATGCAGTGGGTACCGAGTGGGTACCAGACCAAATTGAGTTTTAAGTTTATATTTTGAAAATAAAAATTAACTGTCAAGAGTTTTACCTGTTTGGAAAGGTAGCTAGCAATTCTATTTCCAAAGATGTACATAAACTTCATTAGAGCGTTGTACCTTGTCCAGGTTTCAGGTTGTTTTATTTTGTTCCCATGAAGAATTTCGAAAGCTGAAAAGTGCAAATGTAATTTTAAAAAGGATTGAATCATTTAAGAGTCTAAATAAGATTTCCTAAATAAGTTCATAAATTCACCGATTAAAATAATTTTTTCTTTAGTTTTTTAATCCATTTAAAGTTAAATAATAGGTTGACATTTTAAAAATATATTTACTTATTTTAGTTAATTACCAACAATCTTTACTTCAATGATGTATAAATCGCTAATTGTTCGCAGTGTCGTAGCTAGGGTGGGATAAGGGGGAAGAATTCGAAAAACAAAACCGGGCCGCCACTTGAGGGTGCCCTCCAAATAATTGTTCGAAATTGTTTTTTACATTAAATACTACGCAAAATGCAGAGGCCCCCCAAAGAGGTCAAGCCCCCCCCCCCCCCGGCCATCAAATGATGGCAAATTCCTAGCTACGCCACTGATTTTTCGTCATTAAACTAATCGACTACTAATTTTTCCTATTTAGATAACTATGAGGATAAGACAAACTACTTCATTCTAGCCACTGACTACATCAATTACGCCATTGTCTATTCATGTATTCAACCTGCCAAGCTGCCAATAATATCAGGTAACTTTCTTATCCAGTATCAGTTTCATATCAGGTGATAATGTGATAGCTAACTATTTCATATTTAGTAACAGTTTAATATCAGAATTTATGTCAGATGTGTGGCTGAATGGCAAACACCAAGTGGCTGAATGGTAAACACCAAGTGGCTGAATGGCAAACACCAAGTGGCTGAATGGCAAACACCACGTGGCTGAATGGCAAACACCACGTGGCTGAATGGCAAACACCACGTGGCTGAATGGCAAAACACCAAGTGACTGAATGGCAAACACCACGTGGCTGAATGGTAAACACCAAGTGACTGAATGGCAAATACCACTTGACTGAAGGGCAAACACCACGTGGCTGAATGGCAAAACACCAAGTGACTGAATGGCAAACACCACGTGGCTGAATGGTAAACACCAAGTGACTGAATGGCAAACACCAAGTGGCTGAATGGCAAACACTGCGTGGCTGAATCTCAAAACACCAAGTGGCTGAATGGCAAACACCACGCGGCTGAATGGTAAACACCACGTGACTACTTATTTTCGACTACACCAGAAAGAGTTTCCTGAGAGCACAGAAAAGTAAAAAAAAAAGTTCCCCTTTCAAAACTTGCGATCGATAGGGCAGATGGTGTAAAGGTCATTTGTTTCTGTGGCCCACGGTTAACGAAAGTATCATGTGACCCGCCAAACGACCAACCACCTTTACTTTTCCCCAACCAGTGTCAGGTTCCCATCATAGCTGGGTGGCATAAAGGCAGCACAGAAACCTTCGCTCAGAAATCCCCTCCGTCAATGGTCTACAAAAGAGATTGGGCCATAGCGCACTGAGCATGATATGAGCCTTAAAGTTGCACTATACAAAAGCAATTCCTCAAATTAAAAAAAAAGCATATCTCTTTTTAAAATTCCCGCCACTCCTTTATCTTCCCATATTTAACAAACCATCCTGCAGCTTATTTTATCTTTAAAATTTGCTTTAGTCAAAAAATCACTGTCTTTTGAAAAACACTTATTTGAATTGGAAAAGGATATATAAATAGAGCCATTTTCCTCAAAGTATTGCATAAATATAAAATCATTTCCGTTGATATATTTCTATTAAGAAGAAATCTGCGTTTTTAGACACTTGCAGAAAACTAAAAATAAATTTAATGCAACAGCTGCTTTTATGCTACGTGACACTATGAGAGCTATAGGATTACTCTAATGAATGAATCATCTTTGAAAATACAAGTCTTGTATTAGCTTTAGTAATTTGCTTTTCTTTTTCTCTTGTTTCTCCATGCACACATCTAGAAAGCTGTTTCATTCTACTTCGCCGTAATGGGAGCCCACCGGCCGAGATTTCGACCCACAAGTTCAATTTGAAAAGCTACGGAGTGAACGTGACAAACCTGAACAAGGTCAACAACTACAACTGCTATTAGCTCCCTTGGAGCAGACACCTCCATAGATGGCTGTCTAAAACAATATGCAGAAGTTTGTTTAATTATTTTATTATTATTTAGTCTCATTTTTGTGTGTGACTACAATTCCTACTGTCATCTAGCAACCTCTACGTGGCTGGGTAGGCAAAAGGAAAAGTTTATTATATCTTTGGGAAAAAAAAAGACAAGCTAATTAACAATTCAGTGAGAACACAGGCTGGGCTGGTATAGTTTTTAGAAATATTTTAGTAATTTTCATATTCATTTGGCCTACGTCTTTTTATCAATCCAATTGTTCCTAAGAACGTACAAGAACATGCCAGTTTTGTAGAATACTTTCATTGAACACACGGCCATTCGTAGAAACTAAAACCTTCTGGGTGGGAGGGCTCAGAAAACCTGGACACGGATCTCAAAAATGGCTCTAACAGTTTTCTTATAAATTTGAAAGTTGATGCATATCATTACGAAAGAACAAATAGCTCGTTGGTCACACTGGGAGTACTGTAGTTTGACCGTTTTAATTTTTTAAAGTATATAAAGAAATAAATTTAAATTTGACTAGAGAATTAGAAAATAATATCTTGAACGGACTATAAGTTTTCGAGTATTTCCGCATTCATTCAAAGAGTTTAATAAATTGATGTTCATGAACATTTTAAAGCTGTGCTTGTTTGACATGTTAAGTCAGACACTAGCGGATCCAGAACTTCGGAGTGGGGGGGGGGCGATTTTTTAAAACCCTAACCCTAATGCCCAGTAAACCCTAACCCTATGCATAAACGTGCGTACAGCATATATATATGTATATATGTGAAAAGAAAAAAAAAAGAAAAAAGCAGTGTTTCTTAACATTCGGCGAAAAAAAAAAAAAAAAGTCATGTTGAGGCCTTTCAATTGATAACTTGGGGTTCTGGGGGAGTACTGTAAGCCTCCTCATTGGGGTTCGGGGCAAAGCCCCGACGCCAAAAACTTTTCTTGTATTTTTCACTGCAGAAACGCATACTCCTGACATCTACAGCTCATTACTAATCATTGGGGTTCGGGTCGAAGCCCCGGCGCCAAAAGCGTTTTCTTGGATTCTTCACTGTAGAAACGCATTCTCCTGACAATTTCAGCTCATTAGTAATCAGTGGGAATCGGGGCGAAGCCCCGACGTCAAAAGCGTTATCTTCTATAATTCACTGCAGAAAGGCATTCTCCTGGTATATACATCTCATTACTTATCAGTGGGGTTCGGGGCGAAGCCAAAAGCGTTGTCTTACATTCTTCACTGCAGAAATGCATTCTCCTGACATCTACAGCATATTAGTAATCAGTGGGGTTCGGGGCAAAGCCCCGACGACAAAAGCGATTTCTTGCATTCTTCACTTTTTATTAACCTTATCCTTACATTTAAAATTCATAACATGTTACATGTAATAAAGAGAAACTAAAAAAGTTTTATTCTTCTTACAATAATTGGCAACACGAAAAAACAAATAATTCTTGACCTAGATTACTTTAGGTACTGAGCTAGTTACAATTGTGTACAAATGACTTGACAAGATTTTCCCCTCGCAAATAAAAATTAGTATCTCCGTTGTCATTTGTCATACAAACTAGATCTAGATCTATGGCTGCCTGGTCAAGCGGTTTGCGCGCTGGACTGTCGTTCGGATTTATCGACGGTCGAGGGTTCAAACCCTGCCCGCTCCCATCCCCCGTCGTCCTAAGGGAGGTTTGGACTAGGAAGTAAACTATCTTCAACTCTGAAGGAACATACGAAATATGTAAAACATTTTACAGACTCCCCTAGCTAGATCTAGACCTAGTTCTAGATCTAAATCTAGATTCTAGATTTTCTGTTTTGTAACATCGCGTTTTCGTCTGGAAAAAGAGGGTCGGTAGAGTGAAAACGATTAATCCTCGCTCCTTTTTATAATATTTGCTAATGATTGCATTTGGCATTAAAGAATAGGGGTGGGGCGACTCGATATAAGAATTTAATTAATAGCATATATAAATAATAAATAATTTAAAAAAAATTGTAATATCTTAACTAAAAAACAAAAAAAGAAAAAGTATTGTTTTGTCCCTCCCACCTGGTACCACCATTTTTCATTTTATGTTTACTAATGTGGTGTGTGGTGCGACATAATATACAATGGGTTCACATATCAATATGTAGCTTATATTATATAGATATTCAACTTATTTTGTTCACAAACTATGATTTCTCCATAAAAATAGGACCGCTCCCCCCCCCCCACTCAGAGGGCTAGAGTGCGGAGGGCAATACAATCAATTCCACCCCCTTTACCCCACCGAATTGTCCAAGATACCAGAAAGGGAGCGACATCATATAAAAATTTTATTTTAATTCAACTAATTTTGCTCACAAACTATGATTTCCCCATTAAAGTAGGACCGCCCCCCCCCCCCCAATCAAAGGGTTTAGGTGGGAAGGGCAGAAGAAGTATTCGCCCCCCCCCCTCCATATCGGCCAACAGGGGAACGACATAATATAAATATTGGTTAAAACACTAAAAAAATTTATGGATGCCACCCCCCTCCCGACCCCATTAAGTCAGCCAATATACTAGAGGGGGGGGCGAAATAATCTATAAAAAAATTTGAAATATAAATAATTAGTATATATTAGTACATATTATTAACATAAGAAATAAATTCGTATACAAATTGTGTTTAATACTAAAATTCGTCCGCCCCCTCCGGAGGGGGGGGGGTCGGCCGAGTGGGGGGAGGGGGCGATCGCCCTGGATCCGCCAGTGAAGTCAGATAACTTCAGCGGGAATTAAAAGAAATTAATATAATAAAAATGCTAACCACCCTATAGCGTCATCAAGTAGCCAATTTGTAGTTTGTTTTTGTTTTTTATTACTTCCTTACTTTAATTTCTTTTTTTTGTTTTGTTTTGTTTACATTTATTTTACTCATTACATCTTTTTAATTTTCAACTTGACAACAAATATTGGACAAAGGTATTTTCTAAACAAGGCATATGAAATTAAAATAAATCAAATACAAACTATTTTTCATATTCTTTATTGTTTGTTTTTTTTCATTGTTTTTGTTACAGCAGTTATTGCAGTTTTTAACTTACGATGCGTACTTTAGATTGCCAATCTGCCAAAGGTTCAATCGTACAACAGTTTCGCATTTCGCTATAAGATCAAAAGTGTAATATTCCTTATCCGAATGACACACACACACACAATATTTCTGATGCTTTTTTTTAGCAGACGGCTGCAAGAGAGACAAAAAAAGTAGGGAAAAAAACAAAGTGGACAAAAAAATGGTTTCTTTTTTGACTTCCATTTGATACGTAGTTGAATTCATTGAACATACATGTTGGAAATGTTCGATAAACCTTGTCCGTGAAATCTCTCGGCCAGATTTCGTCTTTCCATAAATGGAGGTAGATCTAGTAATAGAGTGAAAAAGCGGGACTCCCAGGTGGCGCTCAAACTTACTTAAAACTCGCATAGACACGGTTTTGGCAGATTGGCAATCTAAACGCAGAAATTCGAAAAAAAAAAAAGGCGCAAGTTATCTATAAAATCTTTTATTAACAGCGGGAACATCAATTATACCTATTTATATCTTGAACCTTAGTTTGATTACTTGGATAGACATCTCTTTTCCTAACGTGTGAACCTGAATAAGAGTTTTGATTGGATGACGATATTCTTACTCATTTGAGAGTGTCAAGTAACTCCTTGTTATTGCAGTTTTTAACTTACGATGCGTACTTTAGATTGCCAATCTGCCAAAACCGTGTCTTCACAAGAATATTTTTACTAAAAAGAATTTTATTCGATTCCGTACGTCAGTTGAGATCTCTCGATAAATAAATCATTCAGTTAGTGTTTGGGTGGTATTTTGTACTTAAAGTTATAGATTGTTATTTGAAATTGTCCGACCTATGCGAGTTTTAAGTAAGTTTGAGCGCCACCTGGGAGTCCCGCTTTTTCGCTCTATTACTAGATCTACCTCCATTTATGGAAAGACGAAATCTGGCCGAGATTTGGTCCAGCCCCACGTGAATGAGATTTGTTTCAAATAAGCAAACTCATTGTGCGGTTACTCCTTTAGAGGTGTGGCTTGAAGTCCAGCCCCTAATTAAGATTAGCTACCATGTAAACAAACTCAGTTCTCTCGCGTGACCTCTAGAGAGTACCTACGTACATCGTATTTGACTGGTGGTCACCTGTCTATCAATGCATAAGCGCAACAAAGCCCATTGTTTTTTTTTTATATGCATTATGTATAGAATGTAGGTGTTTTTGTTTTTTTTTTGGGGGGGGGGGAATACCGAAAATAAAATACAAAGGTTAATAAATTATCGTTTACAGCAAATGAATTAATCTAAAACAATAAATATTGACCTACAACGCTTCAGATTTCAACTATTAACTAATAGTTTCTATCAGTATTAAGCCCTTGAAGCCAGAACCAGAAGCAGCTCTTGGACTTTAAATTACAAACCTGATGACCAGTTGTTGGTCTGAAATTCATGAACAAATACATTCACCCACTATGCAAGCCAGATTGCACTTTACCTTTGAGAGATTTACATTAGTAACTAGTTAAATATATATTTACGTATTTTACATTGACCATGCCACACACACCCTTTACAGTTGGTGGACTCGTACATATACACACATTCATGCTACACAGATTAGTTTGTGATAGGCATATAAGTTTATAAATATTGTTAAGCTTTAATTCACAAATCATTAACAGAGTTTAAAGCAATAAGGTAAATAAAAGGAAAAACATATTACAAATATAGGTATGTTATTTAACATTTTTGCAAAATTCTCAGTAGCACAAGCTTTTTACAAGACATGTAGGTATCCGGCTCCGGCCCGCCGAATATCATATTTTAGTATCCGGCCAAATCCGGCTCCTGCCGAATATCAAAAAGTACTATCCGGTGCACCCGTAATTTAGACATGTGCTCACATACATAAACAGTTCAGCCTCTCCTTTAATTATCACGTCGTTTCTTTTTCTCCCATTTAAGAAGTTCTAGATATTGTAGTCAACCTAAGGCAAGCAATTCAAAGAAGTTCTAGATATTGTAGTCAACCTAAGGCAAGCAATTCAAAGAAGTTCTAGATATTGTAGTCAACCTAAGGCAAGCAATTCAAAGAAGTTCTAGATATTGTAGTCAACCTAAGGCAAGCAATTCAAAGAAGTTCTAGATATTGTAGTCAACCTAAGGCAAGCAATTCAAAGAAGTTCTAGATATTGTAGTCAACCTAAGGCAAGCAATTCAAAGAAGTTCTAGATATTGTAGTCAACCTAAGGCAAGCAATTCAAAGAAGTTCTAGATATTGTAGTCAACCTAAGGCAAGCAATTCAAAGAAGTTCTAGATATTGTAGTCAACCTAAGGCAAGCAATTCAAAGAAGTTCTAGATATTGTAGTCAACCTAAGGCAAGCAATTCAAAGAAGTTCTAGATATTGTAGTCAACCTAAGGCAAGCAATTCAAAGAAGTTCTAGATATTGTAGTCAACCTAAGGCAAGCAATTCAAAGAAGTTCTAGATATTGTAGTCAACCTAAGGCAAGCAATTCAAAGAAGTTCTAGATATTGTAGTCAACCTAAGGCAAGCAATTCAAAGAAGTTCTAGATATTGTAGTCAACCTAAGGCAAGCAATTCAAAGAAGTTCTAGATATTGTAGTCAACCTAAGGCAAGCAATTCAAAGAAGTTCTAGATATTGTAGTCAACCTAAGGCAAGCAATTCAAAGAAGTTCTAGATATTGTAGTCAACCTAAGGCAAGCAATTCAAAGAAGTTCTAGATATTGTAGTCAACCTAAGGCAAGCAATTCAAAGAAGTTCTAGATATTGTAGTCAACCTAAGGCAAGCAATTCAAAGAAGTTCTAGATATTGTAGTCAACCTAAGGCAAGCAATTCAAAGAAGTTCTAGATATTGTAGTCAACCTAAGGCAAGCAATTCAAAGAAGTTCTAGATATTGTAGTCAACCTAAGGCAAGCAATTCAAAGAAGTTCTAGATATTGTAGTCAACCTAAGGCAAGCAATTCAAAGAAGTTCTAGATATTGTAGTCAACCTAAGGCAAGCAATTCAAAGAAGTTCTAGATATTGTAGTCAACCTAAGGCAAGCAATTCAAAGAAGTTCTAGATATTGTAGTCAACCTAAGGCAAGCAATTCAAAGAAGTTCTAGATATTGTAGTCAACCTAAGGCAAGCAATTCAAAGAAGTTCTAGATATTGTAGTCAACCTAAGGCAAGCAATTCAAAGAAGTTCTAGATATTGTAGTCAACCTAAGGCAAGCAATTCAAAGAAGTTCTAGATATTGTAG